AATTGTTTTCAACAGTCTTTGCGGCACAAATGTTCTTCAAAGCAAGATTTAGTGTGTGTACAACACATGGTGTCCAAAAAATATGTGGATACTCCAATTCAATTATTTGCCCGGTACCTTTGCAATTTGGAGTATTATCGGTTATTACTTGAACCACCATTTCATGACCAATTTCATTTATAACCTCCTTCATCAAGTTAGCAATAAAATATTTATCTTTTGTTTCACCGGAACAATCAACCGCTTTTAAAAACATTGGTCCACTCTTGGTCACCGCCATAAAATTAATTAGTGGCATTCTTTGTGGATCACTCCATCCATCACTTACAATGGTAACTCCTTTTTCCATCCATGTGCCTTTAATTGGATTTAATAATCTTTCCACATTTTTTCTCCTTTTTTGAAGAAGAGTAGTTCTCAACTTGTTATAACCGGGAGGCAAATACCCCGAAATTCGACTATTAGAAGCAAAAGTATAAGAACTTATGTAATAAGGAATTCTTGCAAGATTAAAAGGCAAACCACTTGAATAAAACATTCTAGCAATTTCGGAATCCAANTGTCATAAAGATTTCTTGCAAGATTAAAAGGCAAACCACTTGAATTAAACATTCTAGCAATTTCGGAATCCAATTGGTCACGTGTTGTCATATTAAAAGCATTTTCTATTGCACTATTCTTTCTTTTCCTTTCCTCCAAAACATAACAATCCTTAGAACCCATATTATCCGACGGCAATGGCACTCTTTTCCCCGCCTTAGTCTGCATTCTCAACTTGGCTTCATCTATGTTTTGCATTTCACATATATCTTTCATATCCTTGTAATTTTAACAAATGTGCCCTCACTCTTGTGTATGAACTCGTCATAGTTGAATTACAAAAATTGCATTGCCAACGAATGTTACCACCCTTTTCATTAAATTTATCAAGTTTTGTAACATATTTTCAAAGAGGTTTAGATAAATCATCATCCATAGCATTACCACTCATAACTTCAAAAGAAAAATAATTTCAAATACTTAAATAAGATAGGAGTGATATTACCTGAAACTTGAAAAAATATCTTCTTCTTGATCTTGCAAAGATGAAATAAGTTTGAAATAAGTTGCTGAATATTTTTGCCAATTTTTGGCCATTTACAGTGAGGAAGAAGAAGTGTGAGATACTTTATATAAGTTTGATTGTTTGTTTAATGGTAAAATTGTACAAATTATTTCAAATAAAATATTATATATTATTTTATTAATAAAACACAGATATAAAACATATACAACAAGATGAATTTATGACTTTACAGTGGTGGGCCCCGCTTTTGAATTTTTTACTTCTGAAATGATGAATTTTCATTTCTTCTGACTCTTTATGTACAGTCTTCTTTCCAAGATTGTTTTAATTAAATTCCCCCAAACACGCCTTTTCCCAGACGCTGCCAAGTCTCTTCCTCCTCTGCTGGAGTTTCTTCCTCTTCCAGGTATCTTCTTCTTCTTCTTCTTCTTCTTCTTCTTCTTCTCTGTTATCTCTTTTTCTTTCCTTTTCTTCTTCCTTTCCACAGACCAGAAGCTGCC